TTCTGCAGTCTGTCTGTTTGTCCTGACTGTGAGAAGTTTGCTGTGATTGCTGTTTGTGTAATTTTATCTGTAATTTATAGTGTTTTTTGAGACCGTTGTTTGTGTTCGTGTTGCTGCACTGCCAGACGGCAAAGGTAGCTCTGTCTGCAGCTTAGATAATCCCGGTAGGAATTCCAGGATGTCATCTTCATGGCCAGAAATGGAGTGTGTCAGTAGGGTGCATGTGTGGGCAAAACCTTTGCAAGTTCAATGGAAGACTTTGGCTTCAGGGTCTCTGATTTCACCCTTTCTTTTCTGGCTGTGTGAATCAATTTGATCTTTTCATACTAGGCTTAAATGCCACTCTGTCATTCAAGCAGTCATGTTAATTTTAAGATCACTTCTGTATGATTTTTGCGTTTCCTTCTTTACCTTTGTTTTACCATTTAGAAGGTGTGGGAGGAAAGAAAACTTGGTCAACATTAGTTTTATATAAACAGATACAGAACAGGTTTCACAACATTTTACAAAGTTAACCCAGCAGTGCTGAAGAGATGCTCTAATCCTGCAAGAAATAACATAATGACAAAACATAAAATCGAATACCCTTGTTTTCTGATTGTTTTTCAGGCATGCTTTGGAAAAATGGAAAATGTTGAGTGAAATTTAGATCCTTGAGGGCACCCATTGACTCTTGACATAAATACTTGGTTCCCTCTGTATTTCTGTGTCTCTGCTCAATCTGTTTCTCGCTGTGTAAGTTTGTCACCTGACTTGTCTGTCTTGGACAGTTTGTGATTGGGACAAATTGGAAACTACCCATGAAATGTGATTGCCTCATAAAATACCAGTTCATTGAGACCTAAAAGTCTTGTGGAAACACTGGGTAGGATCAGCTGCTGTTGAGACTGAGGCAGGGTTGTTTCCTGGCTTGCAGTTAGCAGTGGTTCTGCTGGGGGACAGGCAATTCGGTAATGCAGGCGGCTCAGCGCGCCCATCTCGGGCAGGTGTCTTCTTCCTGCGTTCATGTCCACGTGCCGGGGAGTCCTGAAAAACCCATTGCATCCAGTCGTGAAGAGCTATTTAATGAAACACTATCATAACCCTTTCTGTGGCAAGGTATGATGTCTCCGTAATGAAGTATTCCCAGTCTTCATCTCGCAATCCAAAAAACAAGCTTTTCGTGTTCTGTCCTGAGGACACAAACCAGCCAGCTCCTCAAATCATCGTGGAACAATTTGAATGCTGCTATTGAGTCCACCAGCTATCGTAGCTGATACCTAAAATCATGCCAGCCATTGGTGAAGTCATTTCAAATTTAGTTCCAATTGTAGTTTTCTTTTGTCTAATATTTTGGTTTGGTGTTACTAAATTAAGTGAAGGCGCTGTGTCCTCTGCACCCTCGGAATTCGAAAAGGAAGATATCCTGGTGCTTGTTGTTTGATTTATTTATTTTATACTACAGTTTATTTAATCAGCTTCAACATTGTGTATCTGCTGTGTTGGTAAAGTTTCTAACATAGTTAAATTGAAAGTTAGAAAAAATGCTAAAAACCCCCTTGGCTACAAAGGAAACTAGGTGAGAGACAGAGGTAGGACTCGGAATCTTTACTGTGACTGCCCAAACATTGTGTTTGTGAATACGTCATCCTCTATGCCGCACATCTGATAGAGATTAATGAACCCTAGCTCAGTTTTGGAAAGTGAGTATTTATCTTCTTCTGGAACTTTTAAAGACCACCTCACAGAGGGCTATATCATAGGGGCAAAACAACCACATTCGCTCTTGTTCTGTCTCTGTCTTCACTGCTCATTCCCTGCTAGACTGTACTTACAGTGGGCATCTTCCAGAGATGCTCAGATTGTCTTTGCTCTGCACTGAAGATTTATGCTTGTTAAACAACTTTATCATTCTAGAAAATAAAGAATAAACTGTTAACACCACAAATCATAACTCCTTTGTAGGCAGACAGAATTCACAGTTATAAAAACATGTTTTTGTGAAATCTGGAACAGATTGGACAGTCACACTAAGCTACAGCCTTCAGCTGCAGCCAAAATGCACAGAATGCAAATGCAGTTGGTGCATAAAGGTTCTTTTATGGACCGTTCTACTTCTAACACGGAATTTCTACATCTCGCTTCTCTTTAGGTTACTCTAAGGGATGCCTCAAGACATTATGAAAAGGGCAGATCTGGGGAGAGATCTGGGTAATTGTTTGCAAAGAGTTTCTGCTCAGTTATGTATCTCTGTTACTGTATTAGCGAGTTTTCTGACTGTGAACTCACTGGGTCAGATCGAAGGACCAGTTCATAGTCCAGTCCAGTATCCACTCTTTGGTAGCTATTGATAGCAGACATTGAAAGACAAGCGTAAGAACAAGATGAACATGCAGTTGTAGTTCTCTGGTGTGCTATCCCAGCCTCTGAACATTTGCTGTTTAGGGACTTCTGAGGAGAATTATTATCTTTACCATTTTTTTCAGACTTTTTTATTGGCGTATTGGCTTTCTGAGCGCATTTTTGAACCCTCATAGACTTTGCTGTCTGCAACTGTGGCATGAGTTCCATGCCTTAACTAGATTTTGTGGGAAGCAGCATCCCTTTTTTGAAGATTCTATCTCACACTTTTATATGATGCTCCCTAGTTTTTGTATTGTGAGAAACAGTGAGCAATTGATCTGCATTTACCTTTTCCGTGCCACTCGCATCCCCCATATTGTTCTCTCTACAGGTTGATGAGTCCTAGGCTGTGCATTCAGGCTTTGTAGTAAAGCTGTTCCATACCCCTCATCATCCCTGTAATCTTTCTCTGCGCCTTTCCCTTACCCTGTGATGATCTTTTGGAGATGAGGGGACCAGGACTGCACATCCTGTTCAGTATGAAGTGGGCCATGGAGTTTTCTTTCTTTGCTGGCTAAACCTTTCTAAATTAATTTTTGACCACTGTGGAGCGTGAGGCTCTGATGCTTTTATAGAACTAGCTTTAGTAAATCTAAAGATCTTGTTCCTGAGCTGCAATAGCTACAGACGTAGCCTAGCACAAATTAAATGACCAAATAGAGGACAGGACAAGTAATAGCTTTTGTAGGCTTAACTGAGGCTGTCAAAAATTCTTAGTGCAATGCTGTAGATAGTTAACTGACTTCAAAGTGAAGATTTTTTAATATTTCTTCTGCTTTACTAATGTAGAAGTGATTCTCACCCAAAAAATCTTTTCCATTATTAAGGTTGCTGGTGAGTTACTATAAAATCTGTTTTCCACTT